TTCTAGTCGCAGTTCAGGAATCTGAACTCCTCCTACCCGGTGGCTCCATCTCTAAGGCCTGGCTCGAGATTACTATGCTGAGTTGTCTGCATCAAACTGGTGGAAGGGGAAAGAGCCTGGAGCACAAGCTGGAGATATTCAGGGGCAGGACAAACATCGCTTCGCTCACACTCCCTTGGCCAGAACTCAGCACATCACATGGCCACGCCTAACTGAAAAGGAGGCCGGGAGATGCAGTCAAGCCGAGTGCCCAGAAGAACAGAGAATAGGTTCCATGACAACTAGCCAGTCCCTTCCACAAAGCAAAAAGATAGGTCTTGGCCTGCCTTTTCATAGAGCCGAGCACTCTGTTAGGAAAATAGACCCTACATAGGGGAGCAATTCGGCAATTGTGCATTTTGGATAAAGGGCCAAAGTGGGAGAGTGAGGAACCCACTGTGGCTGGAGGTGATGGACAGCCTTACAAGTGGGGTGTCAGTGCAGCCCTGACTGTGGGCAGAGGCAGGGAGAGTGGGGCATGGAAAGAAAGGAAAGCATCGGCTCAGAAGTGAGAGGGGCCCATTCCAGGAACAATGAAAGCCATCTGGCAGGAAAGGAGGCATAGACTTTCATCATCAAAGGAAGCATTCGAGCTAAAAGATCTCACTGACCTCTAGTTGGAAATGTGTGGTCAGGAGTCTGTATTTCTAAGACGAAGTGGAATCTCAGTTACTGAGATAACACAGGAGATGCTGTGAGGTCACTTTCAAACCTATACCCACTCATCTTGCTACCTCCCATGTCTAAAACATTAAAAAATCATATCTGAATCCAGGATTTATCCTGACTTGCAGGTTAAAGATTTCAAGTTTGAAGTATTTCAAGTGAGCGGCTTTATCTAGATAGACACTAACAGTAAACATGAACTGTAGATGCGTATGTGATGCAAAACCTCTAAGCAGGTGGGCTTCTATTTGTCAGAGGTCATGGTATTCTCCTGTCAGTTACACTTTCTGATAATAATGTTTTTAAAAATGTTATTCAAGTGTAGTTGGCATACAATATTACAGAGTTTCAAGTGCACAACATAGTCAACATTTATACTCCTTATGATGTGATCAGCGTAATAAGTCTAGTACCCATCTGTCACCATACAAAGTTATTACAATATTATTGACTATATTTCCCTGTGCTGTACACTACATACCTGTGCTTACTGATTTTATAACTAGAAATTTGTATCTCATATTCCTCTTCACCTTTGTCACTCACCCTCCCCACCCCCTCCCTCTGGCAACCATTAATTTGTTCTCTGTATCTGAGTCTGTTTCTATTTTGGTTTCTTTATGTTGTTTGTTTTGTTTTTTGATTCCACATNCTTCACCTTTGTCACTCACCCTCCCCACCCCCTCCCTCTGGCAACCATTAGTTTGTTCTCTGTATCTGAGTCTGCTTCTATTTTGGTTTCTTTATGTTGTTTGTTTTATTTTTTGATTCCACGTATAAGTGAAATCATACAGTATTTTTCTTTCTCTGACTTATTTCACTTAGCATGATACCCTCTAGATCCATCCATGTTGTCACATATGGCAAGATTTCACTCCTTTTTATGACTAATATTTCATTGCATATATACTACATCTTCTTTATCACTTTATTTATCAATAGACACCTAGATTGCTTTCATATCTTGCTATTTTAAATAATGCCACAGTAAACATAGGGGTGCATATACCTTTTTGAATAAATACTCAGAACTGGAATTGCTGTGTCGTGAGGCAGTTCTGTTTTTAACTTTTTGAGGAAACTTCACACTATTTTCCACAGTGGCTGCACCAATTTGCAATCCCACTAAGAGCGTGTAAGGGTTCATTTTCTCCAAATCCTCTCCAATACTTGTTGTTTGTTGACTTGTTGATAGTAGTCATTCTGACAGGTGTAAGGCGATATCTCATGGTGGTTTTGATTTGCATTTCCCTGATGATTAGTGATGCTGAGCATCTTTTCATGTCTGTTGATCATCTGAATGTCCTCTTTGGAGAAATGTCTGTTCAGGTCCTTTGCCTAGTTTTTAATCAGATTGTTTGCTGTCGTCATTGTTGTTGTTGATGAGCTCCTGATGTATTTTGGATATCCCTTACTGTATGTATCACTTGGAAATATCTTCTCCCATTCAGTGAATTGTCTTTTTGTTTTGTTGATTTTTTTCCTTTGCTGTGTGGAAGATTTTCAATTTTGATGTAGTTCCATTTGTTTATTTTTGCTTTTGTTTCCCTTGCCCAAGGAGACATATCCAAATTGTATTTCCCATATATACATTCTACCTACTTTTCCCTGAGATCCAAATTAAGCCCAGATGATATCACAGGGCCAGTTTGAAAGCGATGCACTTGCTCTCTTGCTCTTGGACTCTCTTNTATACATTCTACCTACTTTTCCCTGAGATCCAAATTAAGCCCAGATGATATCACAGGGCCAGTTTGAAAGCGATGCACTTGCTCTCTTGCTCTTCACTCTCTCTGGTTCTCTCTCTCTGTCCATGAGAATATGTTTATTGTAATATTATATATACATATATAGGTGTGAACATATAAGCCTTTCATTGAAATTCTCATTAATTCTCATTATAAGAAGTATAACATCTATGGGCTTGTGAGTTTTGCGGTCATTTATGGGAAGTTGTGTGAAAGAATGATATTTACCTACCATTTTCTTGCCTTACAGCCTTAGTACAAGTAGATATATTGTCAAGTCAGTTTTTATTTGCCTTACATATAGGGAAATTGTAACAACAGATGACTCATTTGTACCATAGCCTTTAAGAGGTTACCTTCCACCAGCTCTCAGTTGTGACAATTAACTGGCACAAGCTGTGTGAATTTCAGCATACTATCTTAAATATTATACTTCGTATCTTAAATATTATCCTTCATTTACGGCAGTACCTCTGCCTACCTGTGTGGTAGGTGAAGTAGCCACTTTCATCCCTCCATTGCAGGTAGGAATCTGAGACAGAGATGTGCAGTTACATTCCCAAAACCTGATAAAAGCTATGCCTTCGACAGGGCTGGAACTCCCAGCCCCTTGGCCTAGGGTCTGTCCCTTTTCCAACTTGACCTTAACCTATATCAGTGGAGGCAACTGACCATTTGGACAAAAACAGCTGAAGTGTAGCATCGTTTAGGAGGATGGGTTTACACACACACATATTCATGCAGAAAGCAAAGGATGACATCATATATCTGATAAGAAAGAGTGAAGTGTGACCGTGAACGGAATGGGAAGTCAGATAACCAATCTATAAGGACACTTCCCCCAAATCATGTGATGTACTGCTCAGATTCATTACTTTTGGTTGAATGTCATTTCCCATAACTTCTTGGACTGTTTGCATATTGATAAATGTATTTTAGGTTTCAGAACATTATAATCCTTTGGATGCTTTCCCAATCTTTAAAACTTACATGTTGGTGGGAAAATATAAAGACATCTTTTTCTTTATAGAGTACAGTAGGCACCAGTTGGGTACTTACTGAATATTACACATTGTGACAGGTCCCGGGGAGTAAACAGCCTTTGCCCCAGAGAACTCAGATTGTACAGGGAGCTTGAGGCAAGGATTATAAAAATTGGGCGAAAACAACATCCTGGTTCTAGTTACCTACTGATGTCTTAGCTTTGTTGGAGAAATTAGATTTTTCAAAAGAACAGGCAGCCAGTTTAGGACTTATGCCCTTTGGGTGAAATAAACTCCACAAACACGGACTGAAAGAAGCAATAGTGTAGGTCTCTGGCAGTAGGGACATGAAGCTGCACTGAGAAGGAGCCTGATCCCGAGCAGGGAACCCGCCCTCACTGCTGCCGAGGGGGGCAGGCCGTCCCCCCGGGCGCCCAGGTCCCCGGCTCTCCCCCGAGCTCAGCCTGAGGGGAGTTGGCTGCGGAGCAGAGCGGATGCTCATTGTGGTGGAGTTTGCTGTCCCTGCTGACAACAGGGTAGATCTGCCGGGATTTAGTGACCCGCGTGGCCACCCCTGCTCTCTGAGATGATCCCAACATTAATTAGTGGCAGGGAACCTTGGACATTTCCCAGGTCAGCAGCCATGTGCAGCAAGGCGTTTCCAGGGAGGGAAAGAAGGAAAACTGCTCAGAGGCCTGGGAGGCCTGCTTGGGCACGTTGCTTACTCACTCGATTCCATTTTTTTACTGTCTGAAGTCACGAAAGTTGTAACCAAGAGAAGCCAAGCTACAAGTACCATTTTTTAAATGTCAGCAGCCTAGCAGAAACATTAGACTTAAGTCACAAGTTTATTGTATTTGCAATTAAACAGATCACATTTCATGTCTACAGAAAAGCCTAATTAGTATAAAGATTAATATAGTGAAATGTCCCTGCTTTAGCAGGCCTCCCAAGCAAAGCTGAAATAAAGAATTGAGCATATTATCAAATAGCGTGTGAATATTAATGCTCAAAACTCCACGTCCCCAGATCCCTGATGCAATTATTTTCTATTCACATTAATTGTTCCTAAAAGATGACACTAATGACTTTGAGTTAAAATGTGTCCGAGGGAAGATTTCACAAAGATCAATGCTGTTTAGAAATAAGGTCACTTTTATAATCAGCTGCTTGGATTTTAACCACTGCTCAACATAATGAGGTTAACATGGTGATTGTTTTTTCATGTGAATATCAAAAGTTAATTTTCACACTAGCCAGTAAGTGTATCGGGCTATTCACAGTTTTCTTGCTACCTATTTTCCAGCCACTACTTATTTTTTCCCTGCAGCTTCTTTTCCATCACGGATCGACAGACTGTGAAGGCGTGATTATTGTTTATCGGCTGTAATTTGTGCATGCATGTATATAAAACACCAATAAGCGAGAATAAACTTTTTCGAGTTAGGATATGTATTATCCAATCGAGAAATGTCAGCTCCTTTGAGATTTGCCTGTCCAAGCAGGATTTTGGAATGAGCAACTGAATCATCATGATTCAGTGTTTCTGCTTGTTTTTACCTAGAAACTTCACTCACGCATCTTGGGTCTTTCATCCGGAGATTTGCTATCAGAGGTGGAGAGAAGCCGAAGCCTGACACAGACACGAAGTGACGTTGAGATGCACGTGAGTTTCCCGTTGCCTTCGGAACACTTGTTTAGGTTGTTTTTCCTCCATCAAATCCCGTGTCACAAGTGACCCGTGGTGTGCATCCTTGAAGCATCGTCAGGCAGATACAAATGCCTTCCTTTCTTGTGTTCTCTGAAATTCAGTATCATGTCCCCCCGCTGATGGAGTGAGCGGAAAGTGTCACTCTCAGCAAAAAGATCATAAATCTTGGCTTTGTCCCCAGGACGCCTTTTTGGGTATTGATTACATCTCAGAGTCTCTGAGAAATGGTCAAGGAGCTTTTTATTAAAGCCCGTGTTCCATATTAGTCATCCCCCTTTCATGATATATTATGTATGAACTTTTAAAAATTCATGGGCTGTACAGTTTTTTTCTTTAGCTGGGGTTAGCTTTGTGCTTATTTGGCAAAACTTTAACCAGCATGGCTTTTAACTTTCATTGACCTAAAAAAAGTAACTTGAAAAACACCAGAGCCAAATAAATATATAATGAAAAATGTTTTGCTTAAAACAGTGAGAGATGAACATTGTGAGTAATTGGCTTTTTATTTTACTGTATAATTATGTAAGTGTAGATAGGATATTCTGTATCAAAGGTAAATATTCTCAAGTTAGGTTGGAATGAAATTTTAGTGGAATTCCATCACTTTAAATATTTATGAATACTTTAATGGAATCCAACCTATAATATGGCCTTAAGGTCAGGAATATTTTAAGTGTGCAGTTTTTATCCAAGAAACTCTTGCCTTCATTCTCTCTCTCCTTTTTTTAAACTAAAATCATGGATTTTGTGTTGCATTTTACACAGTAAGGATGTTAAAGCAGAGGAGGGATTCGAGATGGTAATCTAAAATACACCTTGAATGGTGCAAATGGTGTATTTTGCCAAGTAAATCAAAATAAGATAATGTTGCAGTGAAAGCCAATATAAAGTTTTTGAGGAAAGAAGAATTTTAATAATAATCACTATCTATTCCTTATTACAGCTCTTCTCAGTAGGATTCTTGGTGGTCTGTTATGTCCAGGAGCTCTGCTGTTGCTAGGGCCTTACTATAGCATAGGACCTGGGTCTCACACCAGAATCATATTGGCTGGGTGACCTTAGACATTAACACCTCAGTGCCTCAATTTCCCCACCTGAAAATGAGCATAATGATGTTTCTTTTTTATTTCTGAGAGTTGTGGTGAGGATTGAATGAGATAATATATGAAATGTACTTAACATAGTACCTGCCAATGATATTGGCATCAATAAGCTCTCTGCTGCGTTAGCCCTCACATGGCACTGCAGCACAGCCATACAAAAACATGACAGGTATGGAGAATGCTAACTGAGGACGGTATTACTAGCATGTCTCTCCACAGCTCACATCGGAGATCCTTAGAAACCAAATGCACCCACTGCTGGCTACTGCTCATCACTGCTGCCCCATGCAAGCATCAGACAGTGATGGCCTATCAGGAAGCATCATGCCGGGTCCCTTAGGGAGGCTGTAAACTTATGATTTAGTTAAAGAGCCAAAACATATGTATATAAAAACATTTTTAATAATAGTATTAACACCTAAAATTTACTAATCATTGCCATATGCCTGGGGCCATTAAAAATTAATAATTATCTTATGTGGCAGGTGTTTTCGTTATCTCCATTGACAAAGAAAGAGACTGAGGCATGGATGGGTTAGGTAATTTTCCCAAGGTCAGAGTTAGCAAGTGGAACAGCCAGGATTTAAACAAAATAAATGGCCTTGGATTTCAAGCACTCAGTCACAGAACAGTGACTCAGTGAAGTAGATAATCCTATATGATAATCATGTGCTGATGGAGAGAGAAGCTGCAAGAAAAGGAGCTCACTTAGCAGCCCTGATGTTAGAGAGTCTGCGACCCTTATTAAATTCAAACATTGATTGTCTAAGGTGGAAGAATGGTGGGAGAATTTCCCGGTAGGGAGGACTAGCCCCTTCCTCTTCTTTACAAGGAATTACTCTGACCACACACACACGTGCGCACATGCACAGATGCACACACACTCCCCATCCCACTGGTCCATGGGTGGGCTCAGGCCATTCCTTTGGTCCTGCTCAGCTCAGCCCAGGTCAGACTGTGAGATGACACACCGTGCTACCACAAAATCCACAGAAGAGGTAGATCCTTCTCCTGGCTTCTCCTGGGGGCTTTCTACACAAGGCACAGGTCCTGGACCAACAGCATCAAAGCACCTGGGAACGTGTTAAAAATACTACATCTCAGGTCCCATCTCAGGTCTCACCTCAGAATTACTTAACGAGAATCTGCACTAACCAAGATCCTGGATGATTCATGTCCACATTAAAGTATGAAAAGCCTGGCTTAGAGGACATCTCCCTGCTTAACCACCCCAACCCCACCTACCTCCATGCCATTGATGGGCCTTTCCCAGCTCCCTGAAGTATCTTCTATCACACCTGGGCATCTCAAGTTCAAGGTCAGGGAGAGATAGCAGTTTCTTCCTCCTTCGGCTTACCCTCTGAGTTCTAACTTTCTGCCATCTGAATCCAGCATCTATACCCTAGGTACACACATGGGCAACAACTGGGCAAGGAATAGAGTGAAGCTGTGATAATAGGTATAATTTTGATCAGTGCACTGGGAAGGGATAGGTGGGAAAGGCAGGGAAATCACATAGAAGCCTCAGTATCTTGAGAAAAGCCATGCGGAGTGTGAAAAGGGCCATTGGGGAAGTTTAGATCTGGGTGGCCTTGCAGGACACAGACACAATCTCTCTCTGCATAGTAGACATATCTGTCAGAGCAGTTAGGCCTAAGTAAAATCACCCCTGTGCTTACTCAGACTACCAAATATGAGAAAAGAGAGTGGAGAAAATAGGAAGCATGCAGCAGAAGTGGAGCCTGATGTGGTATTTCTGAGAGGTCATTTGGGGTGGTCCACACATCTGCAGTGCCCAAAGCCGAATGCCAGGTGGTGTGTCTTTGCTGTAGGACCACTGGTTGGAGGCCTCTGTCGTGATACAAGTGTGAACTCCCCTCAGGTTACATCCAGCAATAAACAAGGCCATAAATCAATAGATATCATTAAAAGCTGGCTTTTAAGACAAGTTTTTCCTTTAATTGATACTTAGAGTCAAATTCCAGGGGGAAAGATAGAGTAGTAAAATTTTTTTTGGCATTTTAAGATCACTTAAAGAGATTGTTATGCAGCATAAATGAAGTATCGATAGCAAGGCAGATGCCTAACATTGAAAACCTAACATGATTAAGCATTATGGGTATTGATTAGGCAACAAATTAAACACCCCTCTGTACTTAGGTGGGGGTTTCCCATTCACCACAAGTACTCTCGGAGAAGCGTTATCTTGACTCCCCGGGCTGGTGTTTAGTCACCGTCAGCTGGAATTGCATTTGGAGAACACTGATAAGTACTCGGGTACTAAAGGCACCCATAAAGTGTCAAGAAATTGCATACTTAAGAGGCTTTGCCATTCTGCAAGTGACACAAAGACAGATGGCTCCCCATCAAAGAGTTTCTTAGACAAAGCTTTACATAGATAGTAGCCTGGAATTAGACGGTAATGGAGAGAGTCCATTCCCGTGGTCTGGATACTAAATTAATTTAGCCTGTCCAGTCTGTGTTGCTCCATCTGTTACGTTAGGAGCCTATAAAGTGGCGGTCGAGAAGTGCTGGGAGGTTTGCAACTTTGTCACCCATGCCTTGTGCAGACCGTTAGAGCTTGAGCCACCTGCATCTTCTGCGTGGGAACCAGGTCTGTTTGCTAAGACGGTCTTTGCCATTCGGACAGCCAGCTGATATGAAACGTCCCATTATCGTTGACAGCAGACCCTCTCTAGTCCTGAGGTTGGTGTTGCACTGGGCATGGCTTCCTGGAAGCTGGCACAGAAATGCCCCCCGGCACTGAATTTCTGACTTAGAATGAGGTGCCAGAGCCAGAAGGGGCTCTGGGGTAGCCTGGTAGAACTGCCCCACTCTCCAAGGTCCGTGGAGGTCCCTGGAAGTCAGATGTTTCACTTGCTTGGGATCTCATATCTAGTGGCAGGGTACATCCAGGCTCTGGGCTCCCAGCCTAGGGCTCATGCTCTTGAACTCCAGCCACAGAAGCGACTGTGTTTTCTTCCTTTTGTAGCATTAGAGTCATGTTTTGATATTGATTCTGTGACCAGTATGACTGGATAAAATGAGAAACTTCCACTGTGGCATTCTACCTGATGACGGTAGCTCTCAAAAATCAGGCACGTACTTAGTCCAGATAGTGAGCCACATGCTTCCCATCTAGAACCTCATCTGGTCCCTGTAGCAGCCCTCAAGGTCGGCAGGATTATCATTCTTCACTTTTTGAAAGAAAAACGCAGCTCTGAGAGATTCATTTGCTCTCTGCATTTCTGTCTCACTGTGAGGCTGAGTTGGTAGTCACTAAGCAAAGCCCTAGCTCAGAGCTCTCCTTTTGCAGGAATGCAAGCTGAGTGCAAAACCAGGAGCCCCTGCTCTGAAATGCCCTGGCGTGGGGGTTGTCATCCCTGGTCATCTCTGTCCTCGCAACAGCTGCAGCAGCAGTGAGCTGTCTCTCTCGAGCACCTGCAGCGAGTACTCCAGCGGCTCCTCCTGCACGTGGCACGATGGGAAGGACCTCAGGAAAAGGGTAAGGCCTCCTTCCACGGCATTTCGGCATCAGAGTGAACCAGATGAGAATCTTCTAGTAGATGGTGGGAGGTGGCAGGGAGGCCTAGGAAGGAAATAGCCATTTTTTCTGAGTACTTGTTCATTGACTCCTGGCAAAAACTATATAGGGCGATAGTGTTCTCCCCATTAACTCAAAAAAGATGGAGGTACTTTCTAGAAGTCACATAGCACGTGAGGAGTGGAATGATGATTTGACCCCAAATGACTTGGACGTCATGGGAGGGAGCTGGGAAGAGGAAGACAGTTCCTTCTGTTCGTTGGTGGAGCCACCAAGCTCACAGATTTCTATCCATCGGAACCTGGAGCCCTGGCCTCATGGAACTGACCACACTGCAGACCAACTCAGACACTTCCCATTAGCTTTGTGGACATCCTCTGTCATTGCAGTGCTCAGAGAGACCCGTACTGTCCACTGCTAATGAGAGTCAGCAAGATGACTTGCCGAGCATCCCATGAGAACGTGACGGGACGCCTACAGGGGAGAATGGTGGATTATCTCAATAAATGGCCCAAAGTGTTGAAAGTATCATTCACTTTGTAGGAATTTACTGCTCAAAAATAGCATGTATTATATTAACCTCCTCTACTCAATGCTATTGTCTCATAAAACACTAATTGACTATAAAATGGAGGGGGCATAACAGAGGGAGAAAACGCCATGGTAGGTGACAGGCACCATGGCTCAGTGAAGGTTGGCATGTCCCTGTTTAGATGCCAGGAGCTCCTTTACCAGGTCAGTAAGTAACCCTACTGCTGTAATGACTCACATCTGCAAAGTGGGCTCACACAACCGAAGGTTCCTTCGTGCTTCTTGCAGACATGTTCGCACAGTGGTGTAGGCCAAGTCTGTGAAGCAGCTGTTATTGTAGTTTCCTGATGTTGAAGAACAGCAAAGAGGAAATGAGAATAGAAACCCCAAATGAGACTATTTGGGGATCATTTTTTATCATTCTGACAGATTAAGTTTACAATTTCGAGAGAATTCCGTAACTGCCAGAAAATATTGGTGAGGGTAGCTTTGTCATACTGTGAGCAAGAACTCAAAGATTTTAAACTAGAATTGAGAGCTCATTCCCCTGGACTCAGACTTCTAATACAAGTGAGGAGCCTGGTGTGTTATCAAAACTGTTCCTTGGAAGGAGATGTTCGGAGTTGTGAATGCTGACTGCTAGGGGCCTGGCTCTAGCAGACTGGGAGATGGCCAGGGATGTCCCCTCCTTCTGTCTGTGAGCATCACTGGCTCCCAGGGCCTTTGCTCTGCTCTCTGCTCCTCTCACACCTCTCCTCTGTCTCCCTCTCAGAGCCTTTTTTCTTCTTTTCTTCCCTCCCCCCCTTCTTTCTTTTGGCTGAAATTTTTCCAATTACAACAATCCTTGACCTTCTAGGGATCCTCTCTCCTGAAAAAGGAGCAGTAAGGTTCTTAAGACACTTCGTACACACTCAGGCGGCCGTGATCTGGAGATTTCACAGGGCCCCTGCTCCGAGTGGTGGCGAATACCAACACACCTGTCACACCTCACAGAGAGACATGTCAATTCTCAGGGACCCCGCAACAACATTTTAAATTTATATTTCTTAAGGAACTTCTACAATTCTTACCTTTTTCTACAAAAAAGGTGCTCATTTAGTATTAACTTCTCTAATAAGTATATATAATATGAATTTGAATGTGAATATAATATTAACTGACATATTAATAGATATATGGGCAATGGCTCTTTTGTAGTCCACAAGTGTTTTTTTAGTACTGTTTTGTTTAGAAACAGAAAGGAAGCCCGAGTGGCATGCATTACCCTGTCGTCCATGGAGCACCTGGCCTAATTAATGAGTAACTGCCATGTACCGAACAGCTTTGTTAGTACTTCCTAAGTATTAGCTCATTTAATGTTCAGGATAGCTTATTAAATAGGTTCTCCCATCCCCACCATTTTATAGATGAAGAAACAGATGCCGAGAAATGAAGGAACTAGCCCAAGATCTCATAGCCAGTAAGCGGCAGAGCCGGGCAGCTGGTGCCAGCGCCTTCACATTCGGCCGTCCTGGCCCTGTGGACTCGCCTAAGACTTGGAGCAGTTGTTCCAGTTGTTAGGATGGATTTGTTCCCACTAAGACCAAGAATGTCCTTTAAAAAAAAAAAATGTGTAGAATGGTTGTCGAGTCAAGAAATAGAAAAGGACTGTGAATTAAACCCAGGCCCCTGCCTTGGCGGCATCTTTCAGACAACTGCTCCCAGAGCCACTCTCTTCCCACTTTTCCAGCAGAGAATGAAGCCACCTGTGCGAAATGCCAGCTCCACCCCACAGTCTCTCCCCCAGGGATTCTTGCTTTTTTTTTTTCAAGTTTCAAAATTGTTCCATACTTTTCTCAAGTCAATGAAGACAGTAACCTCCTATGGACAGCTGACTGAGGAATGTGGCTAATCTCACAGGGCAGAGATCCTGGGCCCTGGGAGGCATGCAGCCTCCAGCCCTGGGATGAAGCAAACCACAGCACAGGAAGGCTCTGGAGAGGCAGAAGGGAGGTGGGTGGGCAGGGGCTGAGCACGTCTGCTGTGGGTTGAGCAAAGCAGCCTTTTCAAGCTCTTGCAGCGACTTTCACCTGTCTTCTCTTCTCTAGTGTGAACGTGACTATCAGGACCATGGAAATTCTTAGAAAACTCAAGCTGTGGTAGTCCGCTCACTGGTCGGTCTATAATACCCAAACTCACTCATAGGATTTCTTCTCATTTCCGAAGGAGTTTTTAATGGTTCAGGGGAGAGGAGGGTGGAGGGGAAGCATCACCAAATAGCATCTATCCACAGCAACTTAGGACCCTGGAGAATTTTCTTAAGAAAATATATAATTTGCAAAAAAGGAGTATCATTTATTTGTCGCTTCTCCAAAACTAACCACAGTATTTTGGGACGTATGAAGGACAAGAATTTGGCTTTTGTCAGCTAGTAGGTGAATCGTGACTGTGGGTTCCAGCAGCAAATGCCCCTGCTATATTAGGGGTGTATTTCACAGGTGTTCACTGCCCCTCAGAGTCCTGAAGTCGCATAAGGGCACAGGCTAACTTACTTACCATTTATCCTCTCTGCCTCTGCTGTCCCCTGAGGCCACGAGGTCACACTGTCTTTGGTTATTCCCTGAGTATACTTTAAACTTACCTTCCCAATTTGGGTCTTTGCCATCACATTTCTTCTAACTGGAAATCATCCCCTCCTCCACTTTTAAAGTAAGACAAACCTAGCCATCTTCAAGGGCTAGGTAGGTTTAAAAAAACCACCACCTTTCCTTATATGTTTTTTGTGGTTTTTCCAAACTGACGTATGGTCTGTCTCCTCTGAATGTCTGGAATACCTGTGACATCTTCATTTCTTGCTCGGGCCCTTGACTTTCAGTCATTTGTGCTCAAGTCCTCTCCTCTTCTGGGGTGCATGCTTCTAGAGGGCAGGTCCTTATATCTGCATCTTTAAATCATAAACTGCTTAGCTCAGGACCTGGCAAAGTAGAGATTTACTTCATGGTTAATGAATTCATTTGCCTTAATTAATTACTGTATGCATTTATTGTGAATATTTATCAATAGCTAGACAAATTAAGTTCAATGGTGGACTTTTCCTGCTATGAGTTTGTGAGACACATGACTATCATTTCTGATATCTACTTTTCTTTCCCAGGGATCATCACAAAACTGGGACAAAAGGCTAAGTATTGACTCCTCGCTCCCAAGCGACTTTGCTAGTCCTACCGATGAACTACCTCCAGCTCGCATCAAGGAAAGCCACGTTCTGGAAGGACTGCGAAAGCTACAGAATCGAAAAGTGCTACTCGAAACCCCATCAGTGGTAACCAAGTGGGGCTACAAAGATTGCATGAACTCAAATGAAGGGATATATTCTCCAGGAATTAAGAGTAGCAGCCTCAAGGAGCATCCCCCCTGCAAACCAGCAGCCACGGGGAGCCCCCGCAAGGAGCCCCACCAGGCATTTGTTTACGACACTGATTCCCACGATGATGCCGACGAGGACTCTTCCTCCTCAGCATTGGTCCAGGCCTATCCCAGCCAGGCCTGCAGGCTGCATGGTTGTAAACTAACCCACAGTGTTTCTGACAGTCTGTTTGGCTGGGAGCTGAGCGGAAAACACTTGTCAGAAGGCCCCTCAGCGTACTGCAGGGAAAGGCCTGAAAAACTGAGCAGTTGTGCCAGCAACTGTCCCTTGGAGAGGAAGCTGTGCCCGGGTGTGCAGGTGCCTCAGGTACAGAGAGAGAGGGGTCCCCACAGCCAGGGCCGCGTGGCTGTCAGTCTCCAGCTTTCAGACACCGATGACAGTGAGACCCTCGATGAGCTGCACATAGAGAGCAGTGATGAGAAAAGCCCTTCGGACCTGTCATTGACTGCTGACACCGACAAGTCCACGGAGAATCTGGACATCGCCCTGGGACTTGGAAAATCTCTAGTCACATCTCCGGGTAAGGAGGAGAAACCAGCGCCCGTCCACTTGGAGAGCAGGCCAGGGACGTTTAGCTTCATAAAGCGCCACAGGGTTGTCCAAAGGACGTCTTCGGAGGAATGCGTGACTGTGATATTCGATGCGGAGGACGGCGAACCTATCGAATTCAGCTCTCACCAGACGGGCGTTGTCACTGTCACCAGGAATGAAATCTCCACCAGTCAGGCCCCGACGGGCCCCAAAGCAGAACACACTGAACACTTACCTCAGGGAATCGCTCACCTGCAGCCAGGAGCTGCCGCAAGAGACTGCACCTTCCTAAAGAGGCCTGAAGGGGAGACTGAGGAAAACATTCCAGGAGACGGCGTGGATAATGCTGCCGAGACACCCACTGAATCTCTCAGCCCCAGGACAGTCACGCAACATACGCAGAGACAAAAACCGGCCAGACCCACACGGAGCATGTCATGCCACAGTAACTCCAGGTCCCCGGTGTCCATGGGCATCTATCAGAAGCAAAGCCTAACAAAAATCCCTGCCCGGGGCAAGTCTTCACCTCAGAAACCAAAAATCATGGAGCCCGAAGCTTCCTCTCGAGTCCCCTCATTGGGCCCCGTGACGCCTGAGAAGTCACCAGCCTTCACTCCTGGGAAACTGTCCCGGTTCAAGAGGACCGAGGGCCCAGCGCCCCTCTGTGACGTGCAACAGGATTCACACTTTCCAAAACAAGGCTCCCAGACGCCCTGCAGGAGGGAGGGCGTCCAGGGCCCCAAGAGTCAGCTTTCAGGGTCACAGCTGCTGCCCGGGCCCCTCGGTGAGCGGGATGACCATGGAGAACCCCTCTCGAGGGACAAACACTATGACCCCGGGCCAGAGGCAGGGGCAAAATCACCGTCTCCCCCACCCCCTCCAGGCAGGTCAGTCTCCCTCCTCATCAGGCCCAGGTATGACTATCTGCCACCACCTTCATCTGCCAGGGTCCCCCATGAAGCAGCAAGGGCTGCATTCAGATCCGCCCCCCTGAAAGGGTGCTCTGCTCCTGTTACTTCTAATCAGGCGGAAGTGCAGGGGAAGAAACCTTCTGTGGCCTTCCAGAAGCCCCTCTGCACCCACCCTCTGCCCTCCATGGAGACCGTGATTCAAACCAGGTGCTCCACTCATACCCCCTCTAGCTCATTGGTCATGATGGCCCCGGGGCCCCCAAAGGTCTCTCCAAAGAGAGGGGTCCCCAAAACCCCACCTCATCAAACACTTGGGACCACATACACAGACACAGGGTTACGGACTCCCAAGAATTGTCCTTCAGCCCAGGAGCCACTGGAAATACCATCCTCCAAAAGTCTGTCTCCAGGAAGAAAACTGAATGACAGTGTCTCCCCCTCACCCAAGCCTTCCTTCTTAGGGGTCAGTGAGTCACCATCATCTCAGGTCAACAGTCCCTCACCTTACTTCAGAAGCCATAATGCCCCACACAGTTGTCAAAACACTCATGAGAAAGGTTTGAAAACTCGCCTCCCTGTTGGGCTGAAAGTTCTCATGAGGTCTCCCCAGTTGCTCAGGAAAAGTTCCACGGTGCCAGGGAAGCATGAAAAAGACAGTCTCAATGAGGCCTCAAAAAGCTCGGTGGCCGCAAGCAAGTCGAAGCCAGAGCACTCCGGGGATCCGAGCAGCCTTGAGACCACGGTGGGCGACGGACACGGGACTCCGCTGGGTTTACAGGCGCAAGACGGCGCGGCCAAAGGGCTGCCCCTGGAGGCATTAACGCCCGAGCCCGTGGAAAACCGCAGCCTTGGGGCCGATGGGAAAGATGGGGGAGAAACCAGGTCTGTGAAAAGATGCCTGTCCTCCAACAAGCCTCCACATCTAAAGCCAGCTCTAGGCATGAACGGGGCAAAAGCCCGCAGTCAGAGTTTCAGCGCTCACTCAGGTGACAAGCCCCCCACACCCCCCATGGAGGGGCCGGGCAGAGTCCGAACTCAGATTATTACCAACACCGCAGAAAGAGGCAATTCTCTCACCCGGCAGAGCTCCTCCACCTCCACGGACACCTCTCCCAGCAAGACCCCTTCTGCCCCCACGTCGGACAGTCTCCCCAATGCTGGGAGGCCCCTGGGGCATGCCCCCTCCAGGCAGGGCTCCCTGGGGAGCGTGGGCAGCTCCAGCAGCCAGCATGGAAGCCCTAGCAAGTTGCCTTTGAGGATCCCTCCAAAATCCGAAGGGCTCCTCACCCCCCCCGGACCAGAAGACCAGCAGGCCTACGGCCAGGGCAGCTGCCCCGGTGCGGCTGCTCCCGAGGAAGCAGGCAGTGACCCCTGCAGGTGCCCACCCACTCCGGCAGACTGCCCACGAGCCCTGCACAGCCCAGGGAAGACACAGTGCCCAAGCAGTTTTGAAACCAGCAGGACCGCGAAGCTAGAAGCTTCCGGAAGGTATCCAGACACTTCTATAACCAGGACTAATGCTGTGAGCCCAGAAGCCCCCCTCTCACCCACCATCGAAGAAAAGGTCATGTTGTGCATTCAGGAAAATGTGGAAAAAGGCCAAGTGCAAACAAAGGCCACGTCTGTGGACGGGAAGCCCAGGCCGGGGCCTTCTTTTGCCAGCTGGTTTGGTTTTCGGAGGAGTAGGCTCCCCGCCCTCAGTAGCAGGAAAACGGACGTCTCCAAAAGCAAAGTGGAAAAGAAAGATGCGAAAGGCTTGGGCTTTGGGGGTAAGCAGCTAAAGTCAGAGAGGAAAAAAGACAAGAAGAAGCCTGAGCCACAGTGTGAGACAGAAAGCGAGCCTCGCAGGGACGCAGAGCCGGCCGGCCGGCCAGACGGCGGCGGCCACGGCAAAAACAACCAGAAAACACCACCGGACGTTTACGACCAAATGAAGTTCGAACCGAGAAACAGACCCAGTCCTGTTACGTGTCCAACAAAAGATACCTTTATGACGGAACTTTTGAACAGGTAACGCCCGGGTGGAGAGGGTGGGGATGGGCAGGGGTCCCCCACCCACAGGGAGAGTTGTTTGCTTAATGAACATGAAGTGCCAGCCAAGCGTGCTTTTCATACAAGCAGAAACGCTTAATAGCCGTCTTTTATACATTAGCCAGAATTTAAACAATGAAATAAAAGCTAGCAATAAAATGATAATTTAGTCCATGTTACTTTGTTAACCAAGCCAGTGGTCTTTGAAATTAAAGAATGGTAAGTTTTATCAAGGTTGAAAGAGATTCAGCCCACACTAGAAACCATGAATGTACCCACATGGCATGAAATGGAAGCAAATTAAATGGACGTTTCAGGGCATGCCAATCTCGTTGATTGTATCGAGCAAACGTATACTTAGAACCTTCCAGAGGAAATTACATTTCCCACTGATCTTAAGCCAGAAGTGTAGTTAGCAATCACTTGTCAGTGCTTTTTATCCCCCCAATCTCACAAGCAGTCACAAAAATAAAGTATTATATTATCAAATCTAAAGTGACACACTCCTGGAATATCAGATGAAGATCTGATCCAGGCCATTGAGAAACACCGTCACTCATAGGGTTAAAGACGAGGAGACCTGTGGATGTTGCTTTAGACATTAAGGGGCTGGGAAGAGCAGGAGGATGGAAGAAGAGCGATGTAATTTATCAGAGGAATCGCTTTCTACCTGCAGAATTGATAAGAGAGCAGCTCAACAGACAGACAGTGGACCAAGTAACGTTTCCTGCAGGAGCATGTTAAAGGGCAGCTCCCAGGGCTCCTGTCTCACTGGCAGCTCTATCAGCGCTCAAGGAAACCACAGGAAAGTCATCAAAACCAAGGCCGAGGCGGAAACTCCAAAGGGCTCCCTGGTAAGTGCTCCACCATCCAGGTTAGGAACTGTTAGGTTCTCTGACGGGTGGGTGTGGGTCCTTCCTCCCCTCTGCTGATGAAAATATGTGGGCAGGAGGTTATGGGGTAAAGAGACAGTTAAAGCAAAAGAGAAAAAATTAGAGAAAGCTCGGTGACAACTATAAACGAGAGATGGCAGCTGGGTTGAGAACAGGCCTGGCTCCTTCCAGTAGCGCCGCTCTTTTCGCTTTTTCAGAGTGATGGTAATCACAGTGCAGGCAAGCGAGGCCGCTGGTGTCATCTTCAAATTACACTCCTGCGCCGGGAATCTGTGTGGATGGTTATTTCCATCATTTCCAGCAACACAGAAAGGAATGAACATCACTGTAAAAAATACGTGCTAAACTATTTAAGAGAATATTGACTATTTTGATGACTTGATTTAAGCATTTTTTTTTAATTTTTCGGGAAGTTGTATGTACCAGTTCACCCTACCCAAACAGAAGGCATTAAAATGAAGAAATCCTTTCTGGAACTTAACTCCTTAGAATTTAGTTTTTTAATTGAGAGGTCCAGAACAGAGGGGGGAAATTTCCTTTTAAAAATCAATAAAAGAAGCCCTGGCCAGCGTGGCTCAGTTGGTTGGGCGTTGTCCCTTGAACTGAGAGTTCGTGGGTTCAATTCTGGGTCAGGCCACATGCCTGGGTTGCAGGTTCCATCCCTGGGGGGGGCGAGTATGGTGCAGAAGGCAACCAATCCATGTTTCTCTCACATTCATGTTTCTCTCTCTTCTCTCTCTCCCCCTTTCTCTCTCTCTAAAATCAATGAAAGCACATCCTTGGCTGAAGATTAACAGAAAAAAATTAATGAAAGAGCATTTTTTAAATTTTCTCAGGGTATGCTAGGTTCAAATAATATTTTTGTTTTAAAATTACCGTCAGCTGCATTTTTATTTTTGCATGATTGATGTAGTGATGGTCATTGTTTCTTTCCATGAGTTTTAAAGCACATAAACCAAAAAAAATTCTCTTCACAAAAAAGAGATTGTAAAATATAATATATGCTCTCATTTTCTTAGGGTAAACTTGAAATATGAAGTAATTATACTTTCTTTTCCTAGAATAGTTAAAAAATAGGTAAGGTTTTAGAAGTTACCATGATTGGCATTATTAGTTATTAATTACCAGTTTGATGACTTACTGATGTTTAGGATTTCTTAGCATTTCACAGACATACTGTTATTTGAGACAAATGCACATTTAATTTTTTTTTTTCCAAATGCTCTGACTCTAAAGAGATATAAGGCCTTTTACTTTTAAACTCTGGAATCATATGCAGGCCGTGTTTTTTGCAAAGTTTTTTTTTTCTTTTCTGTTTTTCTCCATTTTCACTCTTGGTTTCCTTTGGTATCATCTCTTCTTTGAAAATGCAGATGTCCCCTGCATTATATCCACAGCGTGTAAGCATATCTGAGGCTGCCCTTGCGGTGTCACTGGAAGGAAGGACAGAATGAACAAGTGGAAATGCGCAATATGCCAGAAATTCAACCCAGCTGATCGAAACCCTGATAGCCTGGCAGAGCCCTTATCAGACGCACTCAATTTAACGACACCCCATTTAATATGGTTCTGACAGCAGAAGGAATATCTTCCCTGTACAGAAGTCCCTAGAAAAACAAAAGGACCCTCTGTTTTGCTTCCCGGATTCAGTTTTGCCTTCTCATTGCTTCCTAGCGCTAAAGTAATTTGCCATGCTTGTCCTCTCTCATCTGCAGTCTTTCAAAGGGTAGAAATAAGTATCCTTTGGGCATTCCAAAACGCCTGCAAGAAACAGTCTTATCATTTTCTGTGAAGTGCAAAGATTCCCTGCTATCCTAAATAGACATAATCAATAGGGGTGTGCTGATTTTTCTAGTTAGCTGCAAGACGGAATTAGTCATGCTGAGAAGCTTTCCAATAGAGAGGAATATCATTAACCTGGGTAGTTGACCAGCGAGTCATTTTTTTTTTTTTTTTTAATGTAAAATGCAATGTTTTTCATTTTATCTCCATAACCATCAGTGCGGTTTAGGCTAAAATTACTAATTTCAGAAAGGACATTGCATAGTCCCCTTTGGGACCAGTACAAGAATAGCAGTGGAAACCTATTTATTATACGTTATCGGCCTCTATAGGAAGGAGATTAGATGCGAAATAAGATGTATTCTAATGCCGTCGCACATGGGTGTGTGTACTCAGGAACCTTTTAAAATTCAGAGTTTAAGGGAATTTTCCCCCACTAGGGCTCAAGGTAAATTTGCTATCTGCTTATTTTAAAGTGTGTTGCGAAGAGTTCTCATAGTAGTTATTTTGGATGGAAACAATAGCTATACATAATGCATTATATATCACGCTTTTTTCTGACTAAAACCAATGTTTAAAAACCTTTTAACATAATACTACCACCCCTTGCCTTGTACAGCCTAAGACTATATTTAGTTATGAGGGTCCTGAAGCTTTATAATTATTTTAATCTACGGGGATAATAGTAGAAGGATTAGTTCCATACATGGACAAATTCATGTACGTACCAGATCTTCATTTAGTGACTGAACGTTCATTTTCAGGATTGCTAGATACATTCTAACATGTATAAAACTCCCATTAATGCTCTGCTGAATTAATTTTTTTTTCCCTTTTGAAACCTTAATTACAGGCTTGTGTCCCCATTGATGCCATCATTTACAGACCACTTAGCTCTAATTTTTGTGTAATTTAGACAAGGGCCATGTTACTCTGTACTTTTATTTAAATTATATAAAATCATGATAAGACGAGAAAAGGCATCCCCAGGAAAGATGGCATCGGTATTATGTAAATAAGTCAGAAAGAAACCCACTCTGCTTGCTACATATTGTAGGTCCTTCCTTCCTGTATATTTAGATAATTTCTGAAGTGAGAAGTCTCAGAGTAAGGGAGCTCCAGCCTCCTCTCTGTCAGTGGACAAAATAAAAAATCTTAACAAAATTAATGAAATCATGTGCCTTCATCATGCAGTGGAAAGAGGTGGCCATTTTAACATGGGTATTTCAATTTAAATTATGAGTATTCTCCTTACCTACTGTCACGGAGTCTGAAAAAAATCACATGCTAATAAAAAAGCATCACATTTTATCTCCTTAGAATGGTCTGGTGGTGATAAAATAATAGCACAGTAATTATACAAATTATAATCTTACTAAGTTCTGCAAAATGTCCTAATTTCAACATTCTTAATTGAACAGCTCTGCTCTCAGTGCTAGCCTGGTGCTCATAGGAAGCGTGTGTTTGCCTCCCCGGAGGGGTTTTCTAATTGACTCACCTTTCTAAGGCAGTGCCTTCCAGGAGTTCCACCTCCCAAGACCACTTCCCACCTCGCTTAGGTTCATTGGTTGTTTTCCTTTTCAGTGAGCTTCAGCATCCAAATGTCGTTTTCTTGGGAAACAATTAGGGCTGGGGTGATTCAGAGAAGAAATATATGCAGAATTCCAAAGGAAGGGCATCCCCAAGTACTGGGTTTAATTCTGAATTTATGTATGTATATTGGCCGGTGGTGACTTATCTTCTCCCCTTGTTTTCCTCTGTCCCTTGTCCCCCTCTGCCCTTTGTCCCTTCCTCTTTGCCTTTTCTAGTGATTCGGGTTAATAGGATACAATTGGGGACCGTGATGTTTAATGGTCACCTGCTATAGACTGGTGTTTGGTATAGTTCTTAACTACAACTGAGTCCAAAGGTGGACAGGAGTTGGAAATGCATTATTAGAAGGCGCCCAAAGTACTGAAAACAAACTGAAACCAAAGGCAGCCCAGAGTTACTGCCTGTGAGTCACCTGCTGCTTCTTACCAAATGGGACATTACTGATCTATATCTGTTCCTGGTAGAGAAATAGCTGAGAAAATTCTAAATCTCTCCCCCCCATTCTTTTCTGAGCCAAACCTCTTGGCCTTGTGCGCGCTCCCATCTTCGCAATGCCGCAGCACCAGGAGCTGTTCCACTTGCTTCTATCTGTGGCAAATTTTGAATCTTGAGTGGGCAGCCCCGACCCTCAGGAAGCTTCCCACGACCTCGCATCAGCACTCAAGCACTGTGTGATCATGAATGAAAATTAATGTTAATTCCTGCCCTTGAAAAAGATAATTAGCAAGGGGAGTCTGCTGCCAGCATAAATGATGCCCCTCATTGCCATAGGCAAATGGATTTTTTTTAATTACCACTTTGCATTGAAATCTGTTTGTATGGAAAGAGTGGACAAGTATGCCTTCTAAGGCATTTTACATTCCTTTGCCTGGCCTTCATCCGTCTCCTTCCAATTAAAAATTCCCTCTCAGGGTCATCTGCTCCTCTGGGATCATTAGCCCAGGAGAGCTGAAAGAACAAGCAGCCTGGTGTATAAGCCCAGTTTCTCTGCAACGTCCCCAAAGACCATGTTTAGCATTTGCTATTAGGCCCATAAAGCCCTAGAAAGGTTCTGAAAAGGAGCTGACAGGTAGGACTACACAGTGGCTTTTGTTTTCTTTCTTAAATATGATACTTGGAGAGAGGTGGTGGGTAAGTCCCACAGAAAGGTCAGTAGGGAAGGAAAGCAGAGCAGTTACACACACACACACACAGTTGAAAACTTGTGCTACTCTTAAATAAAAGCGTAGTCTATGTACACTTGGATATGCCTACATATCTAACTGCCGGACACTAAGAAAAATAGAGTAATTCTTGGGAAGGACTGGAGAGGATGGCTATAACCATGTGGTGCACTCTGAAAAACTGAATTACAGCAATGAATAGGAATAAGGAGTGCCTGCTCTGAAACTGAAATTCTGTGTTCCCTTGGGCAGATCACTAACCCTCTCTGAGCCTCTTTTTTAATCTATAAAATGAGGATCTTGTTCTAATTATTAGATTGTTTAGTTTAGAATTTTATAGACTGATTGGAGATGATTCACCCACATTCCAGCAGCTAGGTTAGCAGGGCATCCCTTTAAGTTTAAAATGGGTCAAATAAAATAAAAAAAACTAACCCTGGCCAGTTTGGGTCAGTGGTTAGAGCGTCAGCCTGTGGACTGAAGGGTCCTGGGTTTGATTCCAGCCAAGGGAACATAACTCGCTTGCAGGCTTGATCCTGGCCCTAGTCGGGGTACATTTGGAAGGCAACCAATCAATGTGTCTCTCTCACATCAATGTTCCTCTCCCTCTCTCTCTTTCTCTCCTCTCCCCCTCCCCCTGCCTCCCCTCCCTCCCTCCCTTCCACTTTCTCTGAAAAACAATGGCAAAAATACCGGGTGAAGATTATAAATAAATAAATGCATTAAATAAATAAATAAATAAATAAATAAATAAATAAATAAAATTTAAAAACCTAAAGAAAAAGCCATTTAACATAACAGGTGGAGGAAAATGTGGAACGTATTGTCATAGAGCTGGTATGAGCTGAAAATACAAATAAGTTGCCTTGACATTTCTATAAATGAAGATAGAAGGTTCTGTCTTTGTTGGATTGTTAATTAAGCTGTTTGGGGAGTCCTTTCCTCAGTGGGTCTCTTGGTCGCCTTGTCACAAAAGGATCACTGAACTCAGTGAACCTCAGAAGGCAAATAAGTAACATGTTAGCCTCAGTAATGCTCATAGCACTTTTCCTCTCTGCCATCCATAGATGGGCACCTCTAGACACAGCTTATTGAGGAAACCTTTACCCCAGGGAAGTCCCTGCAGAGTGGACAGCTGGTGGGAAAGAAAGTGCTGAAACATGGTCTCTGGATAGACCACCCCTAAGTCTCTGCTTGTGTGGTCCAGGTCGCCATTCCCATCCTGTCTCGAGTTTGTCATCTTCCGGCTACCAGCATGTACAAATTAAGCACCAATTACATTCTGATTTTAAAACCGAACTCATAAAATGTAAATAATTGTTCTTATTCCATTAAATATGAAAAATAGGAGGTAGAAAGTAGAAAGCTAAACTCAGCTCAAGGTCAGTATGCAACCATATGACTTCCTACATCATGAATGTAAAATAAGGGTTTGTTGGCATTCAGCTCCAGCCCCTGAGCGAATCTGCCGACACCCTCTAATGTGCCTGAGCAGAACCCCCGTCGCCCTCACTGCACAGTTCACCTTATTTTTATTGGCTCCCCAGGTGACTGGCTGGGATGCATGCTTAAAAAGCGATTTCTGGTAATTCTGCCAAGCACCACAAGCTGTCTTGATTTTGAGGCCAGGTCTACACTGTCATACTCAAAACAGGAACTTGAGAATAACAAAGTATCCCCAAATAAACACAAACCTCAAGCCAGGCGTGCTGTTTGCATCTCAGTCCCATCATTTGTGTAATTGCTCATCTTGTCCGTTTCTCCAGGGTCTTATCTCTAGAATGGAACTAACAATAGCACCTGCCTCCTAGTGTCGTTGTGGGGACAGTGAGCCCGTGGGTGTGAAGAGCGCAGACAGTGCCTGCTACGTAGTGTTCAGTGGTTTGCTGTTTTCGTCATTGTTGGTATTGCCGATGATGTCATTGTTACTGGTGCTGCTAGATTGGGAAGTAGCGGGCCTGAGTTTTAGTTCCAGTGTTGCCACTAAAAATATGTTTCACTTGCAGAATCTGAGAATTCTCATTTGTAAAATGCTGTAATGTTATTCGATGCTCTCTAAAGTGCCGTTTCATTCTAGGCCATTCAGCATCTGGATGCTCCAGCTGTAATGTAAGGGAAATGTTTTTGACCTGGAAACTCTAGGTGAACGTCTCGCTGCTCTAGTTCACTGAGCACACGGCATAGTCACTTCATGTTTCGTTGTAGAAAAAACAAAAAACAATATATAATTTTTTGGAGAGTTATAGTCTAAGAAAGGGTCAAGTTATCTAAGTATATTTTTTTACTCTTATTAGAATTTGTAGTGGAAGTCACTGACTCTGGAGGAATTATATTTCCTTTGACTTTAATCTTTCCTCTCAGCTCTGTGTTACAGACTCTATTAAGTATCAAAAACCAAAGCTGTTATGTTTAAAATCTTATGTGGAATTAGGTGCCTGATAAATCTTCATTTTCAGAACTGCAGTTATATGTTGGAAAATATATAATTATAATTAAAACCTTAGATGAAGCCAAGTGATAGAATGGGGAAAAGTGGAAGGAAGAAAATATGTATGTATATATAGGCAAATGCACACATACCCACGTGTTACAGACTCTGCCTTTATTCTGAGGATGGCAAAAGATCTATTTAACATAATAAATACGAACTTACAGCCATTTCTTGTTGCTGCAGATAAAAGAGACAACTGAAAACCTGCAAGAGAATGAAGGGGATACAGCTGCAGACTCTGCATTTCAGAGCCGCATCATAGGTAAGAACTCACGTCTTGGTACATCTGTAGCTGAGATATTTCCTACATGAGATCGTCTTTCACACACAGTATGTTCCTACACACCATGCCTTATGCCTCCCGAGTCAAAACTGGGTGTTGACATTGGGAGCTACCATAAAATAAGTGGGTCAAAGCAGAACCTATGAAGAAAACCTAGGCGTTTGCAAAGGAATTGCAAAGCCAACTGATAAGTGAGTACTTGCCAATATGACGTGAGAATAATACTGAGTGTAAATAATAGTTCTCTGAGGAGAAAACCAGCTTTAGATCGATCCAGTTTCTCCAGTAATTGTCTCCAGAAGCACCGTGCACAACTGCTCTTTGTTAGAAATGTGGGTTGGGATGGTGGCTTTCTTAAATTGAAAGTTTTTGAAATTGGTTAATTTTTACACCAAACAACCAAAGAGATTAAGTACAGGTGGCTACGGCTTGCCAAAAATCTTCTACTCATTTTCTAAATTATTTCTGCCAGAACTCTGTTTATAGATAGTCCTGTCTCTGAAGTAGGTTTGCCTGTCAGCTGTTTCTTAAAATTATGCATAACCCTAGCTTGAAGGAGCTCAGGTTCCCAGCCAAGGGGACTTTGCTGACGTGTTTCAGCAGCCGGAAGGAACTGGTGATGGAGAAGCTGTCTGGGCCTGAGATCCTGGCCAGGAGATAGAAGCGGCGATAACTTTAACAGCTCTGGGCCACCTTGCACACTGCAGAATTAGTTGTTCCTCGGGCTCTAGAAAAGGCTGTGAATGTAAGCATGCTGATGATTTAGCTGTGTGTGAGACACCAAGGCATGATGACATCGTTTCTGCAGATCCCATTTGGGTGTAGTAGGCAGTCTGGGATCCCATGATCTAGGGCCTGACAGCCCCACGGATTTGTGGCTTCTGGTATGATCAGTATCCGCTGCTCTTGCCTTTTCACGGGAGGGCCTTCAGCTGCCAACTCTCCGCGTCTCCCTGCTCTTAGCGCCACGTTGCTTCACTTTATGGCTGATTTTCCAGCCTACCCCGCAGTCTTCTGCAAACTGTAATTTACAGTTTATCTCAGAGAGTTTTTATGCTCCCACAGCTTAATGAGACTGGCACACCATTATTATTCGTTTCATTTATAATTGGGAATACAAAAGACTTGACAAACAGCTGAAGGAGCATAGTCTCAATAAGATTATCATTCCAGAAAGACAGCCTTTTACAATTATAGTTGTCAATGTAAAATGCGTGAACTGGTATCAGTTCTGCATAGTTAGCTAATAAGCAAGTTAAATATTGTTTAACAGCCTTCAGACACAACACTGCATAAAGCCCCCGGTGAGTCATCATTTCTCCATAATGAGGTGTCCTTGGTCTGAAGGACAACATATGTAAACCTAAAGGTTGAATTTTCTCCAAGGGAACTACAGGAATCTAAGATTTTTTTACTGGACTAGCCCTTCTTTTGATTTGTGCTCTTCAACCCAATAGCCAGTAGCTACATGTAACTATTTCAGTGCCAATTTAAATTAATTAAAACTACATAAAATTAAAGCTGTGTTTCTTTAATCGCACCAGCCACATTTCAAGTGTCCAGTGGCCACATGCTCTGTATCATCTGTATGAACACTTCCATCATCGTATAAAGTGCCTCTGGAACCTGCTGCTCACGACTCTCGTGAAAGTAAATTTCAGCACGTTTCTGATGGAGAGCTGGCTCGGGCTTCACATAGTGTAGACTCATAAACTGCTAATGGCTGCAAGTAACAACAACATTATTAAAGCCATAAAGTCCTTTAATCATCTTGTTTAATGAAGAGTGTGGAGGAAGGCAACGGAAGAGGTACAGCCGCTTAATGTTATCAAAGGCCCTGGGTTTTCTGTCCTCATGCTTGTTGCCCCTGATTGCAAATTGATTCCTACCGCGCCAGGCATCCCCTCCAACTCAAGGCACAAAGTACAAGAAAGAGGGAAACTCCTCCAGCATCCCCCCAAAGACCTCACCTTATGTGTCACTGGTGAGAACCGGCTCAGAAGGCCCATCAAAGGAGGGTGGGAAAGTATGTTGCTTGCTACCCTCTGCGNGGTGAGAACCGGCTCAGAAGGCCCATCCTAGCTGCAAAGGAGGGTGGGAAAGCATGTTGCTTGCTACCCTCTGCAGGAGGGGGTCGGAAGAATGGTATTGAGAATGTCACCTGGGTTAACCAATCCATAAGATCACCACAGACCTTTTTGAAAAGTCCGCCCGTTTCCAGGCTGAGACAGCATGCCCGGTGGTTATTTATCATTATTCCGTAAGCAGGCCTGAGGAGACACTTCTCAGCACTGATGATCCCAATGTTCTTTGTGTTCTCTAGACTAAGTGTTGCCACCTGTCCTCACAATAGTTTATAACCATAGGGTATTTTTAGTCCTGGCAACTAAGCAAATCTAGATATGTTCTTCTGACCAAGTATCAGCTAATGTCTTTGACGGAGAACAATCAGGAAATTTGTGAACCTGAATGTTTGCATTTCTGTCATTTAAGAATAATCATGTTAGTTTAATCAAAATTTTATTAGTTGATTAGAAGAGAAGATACTGTTCATTAAACCTGCTCTATATTGAAATTCAAAATTCATGAATTGAGTAAAATAATACAATGGGATTTTTTTCCTTTAAAGGTGCCCTGATGTCAAGAATTCCATGTTAATAAGCAGCGAGCAAATGACAAGGGTAATCTAATCAAAGTTTTAACACAAATGATCACAGCCGCCATATTTCTAATAGTTCTTTCTTATTAGTTAACTATTATAACAAATTCATCCTATAGGTTGTAATTAATTATAAATAGGATTAAATGATCAGTAGGAATTCAAATAACATTATCTCCTATTAACAACATCGGCCAGTGATAGCACCAAAAATAATCCCCTAAGTGAAATAATCCCTAACGGAATTTGGAAATTCCCGTAAAGATGAGAAAATGCCTTTTGAGGAGCTTGAGGAAGAACCCAAGCTGAACTAAGGGATGCCCAAGAAAACCAGGGTGCGTGAGAGACTCCTGAAGTGAAGGATACAGGTTATTTTTCCTAAACCTAAAAGCACTCTGTCCAGTAGCCCAGTAGGCAGACGTCGCAGTGTCCCATGGCTGAATGAAATCTGTGAACTCTCCGTTGGCTGGGTGTACTCCGCTTCCTCCTGATGGAGCCCTGTGGCTCCTACCACCAGAGGAGAGCATGACAGAGGACTCGGTCTAGCCCTGGGGTCCCCGCTTCTTTGGCTATGTGAAGTTGTCTGGGCGCTCCCCTCCCCACCCAGGAATTGCCTCCGAGGGACCTCTCTGGGGTCTCCTTCCCTCCCCAGGTGACCTTAGGCATTCTGCAGGATAATGGGTGCTCACTAAGTACCCTGCCTTCGCTCACCTAACAGACCATACACCAGCTTATTTTCCTTTCCCAGGGTCTTACTTTCTTCCCCTGTCTTCCCCTAGACGTTAGCCAGCTGACACGGTAAACTCACTCCTGTCAGTGGAGTAAGGGCTTAACCAGGTGCCTTCTCATGGCACATATTTCATTGTAGCAACGGCTCAGAAAAGTTTTACCTGTAGCTCAGAGGAACTTGGGGAGCTGAAGTTTCAGGCATTCAGATCACCGGTTTGAGCAGGTTAGAGGGGGAAGAAGAAAGACAACGAACAGCCCAAGGAGCAGGGTCAGGAGGAAAAGTCATGTGTCGTATAAGCCTCTCGCCTGCTCTTGAGAAATGGCCTGGCCGAAGGCTAAGAAGTGAGGTGAAGCCTTGTTGAGCGAAATCGAGGGGATGTGGGTCGCCAGGTCCAGTGGCCTTTTTCCCTCTGTAACACGCCGACCGTGTCCTTGGAACCGGTTATCACCCAGCCGTAAAGCATCTCACCCGTGGGAACAGTGCGCCCCGCCTGGAGTCCGAAGGAGACAGACGAGTCCGAGTCATGTGACACACAGCTGTCACTGTCCAGGCCTACACACTGACTCCAGTGACCTGGGGGGGCGGCCGGAGGAGGGCCTGGACGCCCTCGAGCTCTCAGCTGTCTGTGGCTGTGCTTGGCAGGGGCAGGGGCAGGTCTCACTGTTGAGTCACGTACCTCAGTTACATGGAAGGCGGGAAGCAGGACCCAGATGCTGGTCTCATCTGAGCAGAAGGAATGCGGACCTATTTTTATATTAAAGCCCTAATGCAACACGGCCCACAGTCATTGCCCATATGTGGATTATACAGTTTGAAGTCTGCAGCCCACTGCTGTTCTTCAGTTCAAGACTGGACTCCCCGAACTCTTAACACCAGCAGCATTAGGTTCAGATGGGAGCCGAGAAGCCCCCAAGCACAGTGGTTTAAGTAAGAACAGGGATTCTTGCTGTCACACACGACCTCCGGAGGCAGGTGGCCCAGGCCCACAGGGAGCGCCAGGCTTCTCATCATATCTTGTCCCTCTGCCTCCCATGCTCTTCATTCCCAAGGTCACATCAAGGTCCAGGACAGTTGCTGAGAAGCAAACCTTCCCTTATGTTCACTTCCCAACTGGCAGGAGGGAAGAGATGAGGAAGGGGACGGTTCATCCCTTTAAGAACACTTCCCAGCAGTTGGGAGGTCCCTTCTGCTAAGAGATCATTAGCCAGCACTTAGTCACATAGGGTGGGAAATGTCACTCCAGGCAGGAGGCCACAAGTCCAGTAAAAGAAAGTGGAAGTCGTCTGGAGGGAAGGGAGAGTGGATGTTAACAGACATATAGCAACCTCAGCCTGCCGCCCGCCCCCCCAAGATTATCTCCTTGGTAGAAACACAAACAAAATTTTACTGTCATTTAAGAACGCCCCAGGAAAATAAATTTGGAGAGTTGTTGGAAAAGATATAATTAATTCCCACGATGCACGCTTAGTTTCTGTTTTGCATGATCTGAACTTCCGCTCACTGATCTCTATTTGTGGTTAATCTTGAGTAACTTTTTGAGAAAATGTATTGAACTTGGATTCGTTGGCCACCAGCGTATTTATGAATAAA